CATGTTCTGATCTATCCATTGTTTATATGATTTGCGCAGGAAAATTAAAGTTACGAATTGTGGTGATGAAAAAATGAAGCTGAGCGAGTGAAAATAAAAAAACAAATTTAAAGAACAAAAAAGAAAGCAGAGGGGTGCACGAGAGAAAAAGAAAATGAAAGAGAGAAGAAAAGTATGCGTGGAAGAAGATGGGTAAAACGCATTAGAGCAAAGGTTAAAAGAGTATCAGACGGAGCAGGTTGTCATAAAAAACGCGTGCATAAATATTGTTGCCGGGCAACGATTGTTACAAATTTGTATGTTTGTTTGTATCTATGTTTGCGGTGTGTATATATGTAAGTATGTATGTTTGTATGTATGTATGTATGTTTGTATGTATGTATGTATGTATGTATGTATGCTTGTATGTATGTGTTTATGTATGTTTGTTTGTGCGTGTGTATGTGTGTAAATGTGTATCTATTTGAATTTTTGTCATGTTTTGTTGTTTTTTAATTTTTTTTCTTTTTTTTTTACGCGACCGGTCTTGACGGATCGTCGGCTTATTAACGCTATCAACAACTGCGTGTGTGTGCGTGTGTGTGCGTGTTTGTGAGTGCGTGTATGTATGTGTATGCATGTGTGTGCGTGTATGTGTGAGTGTTTGCGAGTGCGTTTATGTATGTGTGTGTATGCATGTGTGTTTGTATGTATCTGCACATATTAAATTAAAACAAAAAATAATGGATTTGTAAAAAAAAAATCCACAGCATTAAAAACATTAAAAACATCAACTGTTTCAGCAACAGCAAATGACACCATCACATCAACTCCACAACAGTTGATAAAAACAACAATAATACCAACAGCAACAATAACAACAATAATAAAAACAACAATAACGCTAACAACAATAATACTAATAACAACAGAATCAACAACATCAACAACAGCAGCAACTGACAAAATACATTGAGAATTTTCGCGCCAATTTGACAGACATTCTAATTTGCAGACGTCTTGTTAGCGCTGAAATAAGGGGAGGATATGCCTGCATTATGTGTCTTTAAACGCTATCAATGTTTTTATTTATATTGCTTCGTTTTGTTGTCGTTCGTTCGTTTGTTCGTTCGTCCGTTCGTTTGTTTGTTTGTTTGCAAATAAAATGATATGGTTTGTATTGTTTGTTTTTGTCGTCGTAGATGCTTACGACAATTTATTCATCCAAATGTCTGTTCTCTTGATCTTCCATCCGTCAATCCATTTATTCATTTATCAATTCATTCATCCATCCATCCATCCGTCTATCAACCATTCGTTCATCAATCAGTTCAACTATCCATCTATTCATATCATTCATTTGTTAATTTATTCATTCGTTTATTCATTCGTTCATTCATTCATTCATTCATTCATTCATTCATTCATTCATTCATTCATTCATTCATTCATTCATTCATTCATTCATTCATTCATTCATTCATTCATTCATTCATTCATTCATTCATTCATTCATTCATTCATTCATTCATTCATTCATTCATTCATTCATTCATTCATTCATTCATTCATTCATTCATTCATTCATTCATTCATTCATTCATTCATTCATTCATTCATTCATTCATTCATTCATTCATTCATTCATTCATTCATTCATTCATTCATTCATTCATTCTTATCCTTCCTTTTGTCCATCTTCCTCTTATCACGTTATTCATTTGCATACAAACGATTTAACGACGATGATGATCATGATGCAAACAATGACCAAGAAGAAGAAAATGACGATGATGAAGACGACGACGACGATGATGATGATGATGACGATGAATTAGTTGATGTTACTGACCAATAAAATGATGACCGCAACATTAATGATAATGAAAATGCTGATAACAAAGCAGAGTAACGGTCAATCCCATGATGATGATGATGAGGATGATGATGGTGGTGATGATGATGATGATGGTGATGATGGTGATAATGATGATGGTGGTGATGATGATGGTGATGATGACTGTGTTAATAACGACGATTATGATAATGATACGTTATGATGATGACGACGACGATGATGATGACAATGATGAAGCGCTAAACTTTTAAGCAAACCATCATATCTATTACAATCGTCAGAGGGCTTACGTCACAGAGCTCATCACATGTCTCTCATCATGATCCTTAACACTGTGAAACTGTTCACACATATTAAAACATACAATAAACATACACCCGTCACGCACGCACGCACGCACACATTCACAGACACACACGAACACATACACACATCCGCACCAACAAAACACATACACTCATGTTGTTTACCACAAAGTGGTTTTTCTAGAATGTCCTTATGGAGTGTTTGTTGATATAATTCCTTTTAAAAAATAACGTGAAACATTTTTTTGTGCTTTTGATTTCAATTTAATACATAGAATTGAAAAAATAAACAAAAAAAACTGTATCCAAAAAAAGATACAGTTACATTTGTTTGGATGCTTAAAAGTGGATTAATTGAAAACTTATTTTGATCGTCTTCGCAGCCGCTACAGGAAATAAAGATCGCTTGGACCGGAAACAATTCCTTGCTGCCGGAAATGACCGGGGAAACCCACGTGACTGTCGACATCTTGAAAATAAAAATGGCGGCAAATATTACAGAAACATCAACAATAATAATGAAAACAACGCCAAAAATACATCAAGTGATGGAAGGATGCACCTGTCGCGCTGCAAAAAACGCTGCGTAGCCAGCGATTCGCCGATGCGAAAATCAGAATCCGATCGTACAACAGCAGCTCCTCCAAACGAACTTCCGAAAATAAAAAACGCCGATGTGACGTCATTGCACGTGAGCGGAAGTGAATTAAAAAAGGATAACGACGGCTTTAAAAAGTTAAACAAAGACACGCCGCTAAATTTGACCAAACCGAAATATTTGAATCGAAAAATGGTTGACGAACTTTCCACCACACCTAACTACCATTTGAAAGGTTCAGCCACTGGCAATGATGATGATGATGAGGAGGAGGAGGAAGAGGAAGAAGAAGAAGAAGATGATGATGATGATGATGTTGATGCTGCTGCCGATGATGATGATGATGATGAAAGCAAAGTTAACAAAATCACGCACAACAACCGTAAACGTCGTAAAACGATTGATGATGATGATGATGATTATTGTGATGGTGATGATGATGATCATGATGTTGATGTTGGTCATGATGACGATGACGGTAATAATGATGAGGAGGACGGTGACGATGATAATATTAAAGATGATAAAACAAGCGTCTTAGTTAAGCAGGAGTTTGTGTACGGAATGGACACAACCAAACAGCATCATCATCGTCGTCATCATCGTCAACTGGATAATAATAATAATAACACCATCTGCAATAACAAAAATAATATTAATTATAATAATAATAATAACATTAATAATAATAATAATTCTAGTAATGATAATGATGATGATGTAGAAAACTGCAAAGCAGCAACATCACCAATATTAGATGACAGTTACGAAGATTCATTCAAACAACAACAACAACAACAACAACAACAACAACATCAACAACAACATCGTAACAACAAAAACGTTTACAGCAACAACAACAACAACAACAACATTTGCATGCAGCAAGCACACAGTAGCTACCTCGAGTTTTGCTATCGTCTTCAACAGCAGCAGCAACAACAACTACACCAACATCATCAATTACAACAACAACAACAACAGCAACAACTGTTGCATCATCAACAAAAACAACAACAACAAAATTCTGAAAACCATATGTTAGTGGCTACTGATGTTAGCGACAAGTCACCAATATTTTTCTCACATGTTCCTTTCGACAAGGTCTGCCAGTTTTTTTAAATAATAATAATAATAAAAATAATTGTGAATTTTTCAATATTTTTTAATTGACAATTTTATTTATTTATATTTCAAATTGAAAATAAATGTAGATAAATTTACCCCATACAATTTTTTTAGAAGTTATTATTTAAAAATTTGCACTCTTAACACTCCATTGAAAATTTGATCCCCTAAATAGAAAGTCATATTTTTTATAGAACTTAACTTAATTGGTTCGAACAAATTAGTGAATAATTAAAATCATTTATAAATAACAAGGTAATAATTAATTAGATAAAATTTAATGAAATTGGGTTTCAAATTAATCAAAACATTAATTTTATATTCGCTAGGAGAAGCTCCTCCAAGCCATGGTAACCAGAAACATGTTTCCACAGCCCCACCTGCCGATCAACCTGCCGCCATATTTCGGCCTGCCCTATCCATTGTTCCCCCACTTGGCCGCACCGCCGCACGCCATTCTACCTCACCTCAATCCTCATCACCATCAGCAGCAGCAGCAGCAACAGCAGCATCATCAGCTACATCCTCCCACTCCCCATCATCAACAGCATCCACAACATCATCAAAATTCTCCGAGGAGTAACCATGGGCATCATCACCCCCACCCTGGACAGCAAGCAGGTCAGTCTCCGGTTCAACTGCAGCAGCAGCAGCAACTGCTGCAACCACAACAACGAAGTGCTGGTGGTCTGTCATCGCATCTCAGTCCTAATGATGGTAGGCTGGTGAAAAATTATTCATATTTACAAATGATAATTTATATTATAATTTTAATATTATTATTATCACTCAGTTATTATTATGGTTATTATTTGTGTTACAATGATGATGATGATGATGATGATGATGATGATGTTTAACAGCTTACAGAAACAAATTCGATGTGGACCACACAGGGCAGCATCCCTTGCACGGTAACAATATTTAATTTTTATCTTTTGGCAAAAAAATATTTTTTATTATTATTACACTCACACACACCCACTTAAACACGCAAACCACACCACACACACTCACACACACGCACACACGTAACAACAACAACACTTCCCATACAACAACCCATTCAGGGACTAAAATTTTTGGCCCGAAAATGGTAAGACCAATGAAAAACAGGGACGAAACGAACAAGCCCCACGTTAAAAGGCCTATGAACGCCTTCATGGTCTGGGCTAGGGAAGAGAGGCGGAAAATCCTGAAAGCTTGTCCGGATATGCACAACTCCAGCATAAGTAAAATTTTAGGTCATCATCAGATTACTGTGATTAGGATGATGATGATGATGATGATGATGGTGGGTGTGGTTATGGTGATAATCTTCATCATCTTCATAATCATAATCAGGATCGAAATGGAAAGCAATGAGTAACGCGGACAAACAGCCATACTATGAGGAGCAATCGAGGCTGAGCAAGTTGCACATGGAAAAACATCCGGACTATAGATACAGGTTTGTCGGCCGTTTATTTGTTCGTTCGTTCGTTCGTTCGTTCGTTCGTTTGTGTGTTTGTGTGTTTGCTTGTTTGTTGCTATAGTTTTTTTATTGTTTCTTTGTTACTTCCTTAATAATCATCATCATCGTCGTCGCCATCATCATCATCATCATCATGAACATCAGGCCTCGTCCAAAACGAACCTGCATCGTTGATGGTAAGAAGCTGAGAGTGTCAGAATACAAGCAACTGATGAAAACCAGACGACAGGACGTTAGGCATTTGTGGTACCACAACAACCACACCACCACAACCACCACCACCACCAACAACAACAACAGCAGCAACAACATCCACGACAGCCACAACAACAACAGCAGCAGCAACAACGAACACAACGATAATGATAGTAGTAACTTGCCCTTGCATTGTTAGTCCTGACTGCAGAAAGTAATTTCAAAAACTAGACCGATAAACTTGATTTAGAAAAATATTCCAAATGATAAATTGTTAGATATGTAAAATAATTTGCATTATTCAAAAAAATAAGCTTAGATTAAAATATTCAATTAAAACTTTCAATCAGATTTTCATCACCATTCGCGTGTGGCCCAATCATCTCCAGTCTTTCCAAACTTTAACCCCTCCTCTCTGACGTCACAACTACGTCTGTCCAATCAGAGCACGGGCGGTCGATCCGGCCAGCCAATGAGGCACTTCCTTATCGGACCTCTATCCAATGAGAGTCGTTATTCAAACTCAAATTCAGACGTTGATACAAATCATCGCGACGACGACGAAGATGAATATGACGTCATCAATGATGACGATCCGGCGAAGAAAAACAACAGAGAGGCTAACGATGATGATGGTGGTTGTGGTGAAGATGATGATGATGACGACGACATTAACGTGTAAATACGTCAACTGTATATATTATATTGTTATATATTATTTAGTATAATAAATATAAAATATTATATTATATTATAATTAAATAATTATGTATATTTTATTATATATTAAACCCAAGGGTAAAATGCTTATATTACATTCTGTTCTAGTAACCTATTGCTAGTATTTTCTATTGTTTAGTATTTGTCGTAAGTGCATATAATTGTGTGCATGTATGTGTGTGGAATTGTGCGTGTGCGCGTGCGTGCGTGCATGCGTGTGTGTGTTTGTATGTGCGTGTATAGTTATGTGAAAGTGTAAGTTTCCTATTTCGAAACCTATATCATAATATTGGATATTGGAAACATTAAAGATATTTATAATAATTTCTTTATAATAATAATAACAACAACAATGACAATAATAATAATAAAATAATAATAATACAGTTTCAACAACGTCAACATCAACAACAACAACACAAACAACAATAGCAACAAAATAAACACAGACGACAACATTTGAAACGGACACCAACATTACAATATTATTGTAACAAAAGACAGCCACGTTCAATTAATTGAAACCAATTAGCATAACTAATTAAAGCCAGTCAACATAATTAACTGAAGCATACATGTATAGTTAATTAGCCAATTAGTAATAAAGAACCATCAAATTTTAAACTGCAGCTGCCATATCAAATGTTCCTCCATTATAAATAAACTTCATTGTAAGCAAAGGCAACATTGAAATGGGGCAGAAGTCAAGAGAAGGTCGGCGGGGTCACAGCCCCATACCCTTAACGAATAAAGGTCAATACAGAAAACTGACCTTTACCAAAAACTAGTTGCATGCATTATGACAGCATAATTAATAGCCACATGTTATCAAGTATATGAGTTGAAAATTATTAAGAGATTACCTTATATATGTATACGCATACATACACCCATACACACATGCCACACTCACTCACACACACACAACACACTCACACACACACTCACACACACACTCACACACACTCACACACACATGCCACACACACACACACACACGCACAACACACACACACACATTTGTTTGAATTCATTGTGCAATGCTATATAAAATTGTCTTGTTTCTCTAGAGCTAAATGGGCGTCTGTATATTAGATATTTATTTATATTATCCCTTATTTTCTTACCTTTGTTGTGCTATGTGTTGTTTTTAATAAAAAAAGTGAAAAATATTTTGGCTATTTTTATTATTAATACAGTAATTATTTCTTTTTATTTGTTACGAATTAATTAGCAAAAATGTCAACAATAATTTTCTTACAAGAATATTTATGCTTTTATATATATATATATATATATATATATATATATATATATATATATATATATATTATGTTGATAATAATGACAATAATAAAATAATAGTAATAATCATATTATTATTCAATATTTATTTTATTATTTTTATTTTTGAACTTATTTGTTGGCTATGTGCAATTTGACAATTTTAAATAGAAAAAATTATTACTATCCTTATATTTAAATAATTATAATGAAAATAATAATTAAAACTATTATTATTATGATTTTTTTTATATAGAACCAAATTAAACTTCGATTTAATTTTATCGTTGCTTGTATTGTATCATTGAGAGAATTAAAATATGTATTTTTAGTATACAATGAATTAGATTTTTTCCGATTTGAATGATAGATAGAAAGAATAAATGAATGGATGAATGATTGAATGAATATATCTATGTTTGATTGAATGAATAAATAAATGAATGAACGAACGAACGAATGAATGAATGATAAATTGACAAATGTTTGAATCAATAAATGATTGAATGTATGTATCATACAAATCGATGTAGTAATGTATGTATGAATGAATAAATGATTGGATTAACTGGTTATATATATATATATATATATAGGATTCAGACTATCAGATATACAGTTGCTTAGAATAGTCACAGCGTTTCCACCATTTTTCAGCATGTTTCAAATAAAATTTAGAATACATTGAGATAGTTGAGTTATACTAAAAGAAGTATGTGTGACAACAAGTAATCAGTAAGAGTAGAATAGTAATACTAATAGTAATAATGAGAATGATAATAGTGACAAAGGGAATGTTGGAAAATGGTGTTATATGAAGAGAGAGAAAGAGAGAGAGAAAATAGAGAGAAAGAGAAGGAGAGAGAGTGAGAAAGAGAAGAAAAATTGAGTGAGCAGTGAGATTTGTTTAACTAATAAATTAAAAAATTAATTACATATTAAAGAAGAATTCATTTCAAATGAAATTTTTAAAACCCTAGAACGATGATGACGACGACTATTACAACGTTTTTCATACCCCAGCGATTAGTCATACCATTGTTTTTAAAATAGGAAAAATATCCGTTACCACCATCATCATCGTCATCATTATTATTATTATTATTATTAATAAAACTATTATTATAATTGTTGTTGTTGTTATTATAATTGTTGGCAGCTGCCTGGAGACCGTTATTGCGAGAATTATGCCGATGATGAAGAAGATGATGTGGTTGCTGTTGATGCTTCTGCATTAATAGACGATGCTGTTGGTGTCGCTGGTTGTGGTTGGTGTGGTAGTACACGGATTCGATCTGGGAGTACTTGATGACGTTCGCAAGCGGCACGTCGTGAAGGAAGCTGCCACCGTGCCGTGTGAGAAGCTCGCGTATGTGCTTCGAGCTGCTGAGGCAAGGATGCTGATGATGAGGATGGTGGTGGAAGTTATGATGATGATGTTGGATGTGATGGTGGTGATAATGATTTGGAAATCTACTACGACGACGATAATGATGATAATGACGATGAAGATGATGACGATGATGATGACGATGATGATGAAGATGATGATGATGCTGATGATGATGATGATGACGATGATGATGATGATGTTGAAAAATGTATGAAGACGCTGATAATGATGATAGTGATGGTGATGTTGAAGTAAGTTGAGATGAAAATGATGTTTAGTATGGTGAAGAAAGGACGTTAAACGATGATAATAATGATAATGCATTGTGATAATGATGATGATAACAATAAAATTGTCATAAGATGATGATGATGATGATGTGATGATGATAGCAAAACTCGTGTTCGTCTCGGTGATCATTAATCTTTAGATGAATAGGATGATAACAAAACAGCAACAACAACCACAACAACAACAAAACAAAAAATATGAACCAATTTTTTCAACAGGTTGCCATTGTTAACTGGAAAATTATTAACATTGTTGTTGTTGTTGTTGTTGCCGCTGTTGTTGTTGTTGTTGTTGCGGCTCATTGTATCAATTTTATTATTATTATTATAGATTTCATTACTACTATTGTTGTTGTTATTATTTTTATCGTTGTTGTTGTTGTCGTTGTTGTTGTTAGCGTATACAAATTCGTAAATTAAATTTTCGCTGGATGTATGGCGGAGTACTATCTGACATTCCCTCGAGTGTCCGCTCAACTGAAAATATAACGAAATCGTCATTAAATTTTAAATCAATATTTGAATAATTAAAAATAATATGGGAAAAAATATTTAATATTATATTACAATTAAATTTAATTACATTGCAAATACTTTACAATTCCTTACCTTACACAAATTTTTTTTTTATTATTATTCTTTAAAAATCAGGATCTGACAGACGCAGAAACTGTAACAACATGCAAGGCAGTAAAACAAAATTAAACAAATAAGTGAGGAAATAAATACAAAAAATGAGGAAGAGAAATGATAAAACATGAAAAATACTTTACAATTCCTTACCTGACATTACAATTACATTACTAACGCTGCTCTGTGAAAGAGGGCCATTTATGTAGAGTAATATTCGGTTGAATAGATCGGTAATCGAGTCGATACCGACACCGATGTACTTCGATAGGTGGGACAGCTCGACTGAACTGTAGCCGATGTGAAGAAAGAGGCCTGCATGGTAGTGGTGATGACGATGATGATGACGGTGATGATGATGATGACGGTGATGATGATGATGACGGTGATGATGATGATTTGATGAGGATGATAATGATGTTAATGAGGATGATGTTGATGTTGATGATGCAGACGACTAAGATGATGGTGATGGAGTCGATGATGATGGCAATGATGATGATGTCGATGATGATGATGATGATCTTGACCTTCGGGAAGGTCGACCCTGTATGGTGGCTTGACACAAATGACCTGACCCCGATGACAACCGCACTGCCCTCTATCTGATAGACTGAACCTCGAACCATCATCTGTACCATCATCATCATCATCATCGCCATCACTATCCCACAATCATCATCGCCACCATCATCTATATCATCATCATTACCATCATCAACTTCATCATCATCATCGTCATCATCATCATCATCGTCATCGTCATCATTACCATATAGAATGCTTCTATCGAGACAAGAGGACTTTTGTAGACAAGGCAATGATAGGCACGATGACGACGACGATGGTGATGATGATGAGTAAGTCGGGTTGATGTGACATTGACATATGACTGAACACGGCTTTTTCTTATTAAACATCTAAATAAAATTAATGTTAATCACTCTATTATTTTGCTGTTACTAAATACTGATAAATAATACTAGTTACTTGAATAGAGAATCCATTTTTAAAGAATTGAGTTGGTGATGATGATGACGATGAAGATGATGGTGATGACCATAATGACGATGGAGGTGGCTGACTTTGTTGGGCATACACTTTGCTTATTTCGTAATTGTTACAATCTGTCATGTGAATGAAAGTATTTTGGCATTTTAATCGGTGTCGGAGTCAAAGTCGATAGGAGTCGGATATTTTTGACGGAATCGGTTTCGGTAATTTTTTGGAGACTGGAGTTTGATTGAAGCCAGGAGTCGGATATTTTGCATCAGATTAATGAAGTATTAACTATTCAATTAAGTTTTATCATTCGGTAAATAAAATTTTTTTAAAGATGACGTTATTTAAAAGATGTATAAGCGTGTTTAATATTAAATTAGATGCCAATAAGTGAATAAAATCACGTAGTTTTCTCTCAGTAAATTTTAAGACATAAATTTAAAGTAATTTTATAAAAAAAAAAAACAATTAGATTGACCGATTTTAAGTGTTTTTCATATCAATTTTTATTTAGTGGTAAAATTTGGGTTAAAGGTATGAAGCAAAAGTTGGTAATTGTCACCATACTCAGACGCCGTGATTTCAATGTTGAATCATTAATAATTTTCATTATTGTAAATTTAACTAGAAACGTAATGAAAATAAATTGATAATTAATTGATCAATCAATCAATTAACCAATCAATCAATCAATTAATCAATCAATTAATCAATCAATTAATCATTTAATCAATTAATTAACAAATCAATCAATCAATTAATTAATCATTCAATCAATTTATCAAGCCAGCAACCAGCCAATCACTCGGTCAGATAACTTTATATAGCGCAATTTTTATAATAATAATACGGTTCATAAAATAAAAAAATTATTCACCGATAGTTTCATTTACTTTTCGCGCCACATCACCATCATCATCACCGGCATTATCGTCGTCTTCATTGTTATTCTTATCAGTGACGTCATCATCGTCGTCATCAATAATTTTGCCGACGATTGGGCGGTCCACAAGTCCTTCGGAATGAAGTTCATTTTTAAAAATTTACTACTACTATTATTACTACCATTATTACTACTACTACTTCTATTACTGCTACTACTACTACTACTACTACTAATACTACTACTACTAATACTACTACTACTACTAATACTACTACTACTACTACTACTACTACTACTACTACTACTAACCTAGACAGTAATTCTTGTAATGTAGTAACTTTCTGTATGACTGACATCTCTTGTATTCCGCTGCAGTACTACTACTACTACTACTACTACTATCACCACCATCGCCACTACTACTACTACCACTGCTGCTGCCACTGCTACTACTACCAACAGTAATATTACTTAGCACGTTACTCAGATTACTAGCTTTAAGTTTGTTGCTTTTCGCAAAGCAAGTACAATTGGTACTTAACAAAGTACCCATTAAGTATACTATTGATGCGGTGCACTTCTGATTCTCCTGACATCTTGCAAATGAAGAAGTTTTATAATACTTGGGAGTCTCGACAGGGCAATGATGATTGAAATCGTACCAAGACTGTCTACGTTTTTAAGGATTGTAAAAAGTAAATTTACATTTCTCTAACCAATTCTTCAAAAATTTCATCCACAAAAATATCAACAATTGTATATACGCTGAATTCAATGTGAGTTAATTCTATTTAGTAGCATGCAGCATTAGATGATGAAGGCATGTGACTTCTTATATATTTGTATTTCTAAATAATTCATTGAAAATTCTCTCCTCATTCAATATTTTAACATTTTGATTAGATAAAATTCAAACTAGATTCGGATAAAACTTCGAGAAAATGTACAACTAACAACTAATAAAAACAAAATAAAAAACACTGAAAAAAGATGTGGCAGCAACAGCAACAGCAGCAGTAGCAGCAACAACAACAACCACCTGCAGACGTCATCATCAATGCACCTATCGACCAGATGCGTACACAGGGGTGGGGGTAATTCAACCCTACTGCATGTCGGTATGATGACCTCTTTTAATTTCAAACATTTTGATTGGATGACCTCGTTTCTGCTATCCAATGAAACTGAAGATGGCGAGGACGATGACGGCGATGATGATGATGATGGTGGTATTGGGAGAGAAAATGATGATGATGATGATGATGAGGAGGAGGAGGAGGAGGAGGAGGAGGAGGAGGAGGAGGAGGAGGAGGAGGAGGAGGAGGAGGGCGGGTTAGGACAGCCACAGAACAACATGGAACGTGCCAGATCTGGCTTAACCTTGTGGAGAATTTTTTTTTTGTTATTTTACATGCTAAAGCAATAATTATGAATAATAATAATACATAACACAAATAATAATAATTAATATTAATATTATTATTATACAATAAAAATAATAATATAATATTGTCCATAACAAATATGAATCACCTTCATAAAAAAATTCCTAATCTGAGTGAGACAAGATTTTCTGTTGCAGTGGTCGCCGTTAGACTCCCAGTAGCAAGCGTGCATCATGCTTTCCAGGTAGCTGGAACATTGTTGGTCTAAGTTGCAACGTCTGTAGACATACAAGCAACAGCTGATCGGCGACATGCGACGGTCTGATTGTGGCAAGGATGAACATCCGTTCGAGGTTTCTGCTTGTGGGTTTGTTTATTTGTTTGTGAGTGTGTGTGTTTGTTTACCGTAAATAAATGGCGTTTAAACTGTTGTCTGTGTGCGTGCATATGTGAGTATGTGTATCTGTGTGTTTGCCTGTCTGTGTCTTTGTTAATTAGTTAGATATCTAGGTATAATTATTAATTTTGTTGTTAGTGAAAATAATTCGCACCAGACGACAACGCCAGTGTCTTCTGCTCTGAAAATGTCAGCTCTGGTAACTTCGATGTATACACGAAGTAGGGGGCGGAGTCTGGGTGTGAATAAATTAATAAATTTTAATATATTATTAAATTAGTGAACTAGAATACATGAATGAGTTATTCACTTGATAAAATTAAAGAGATATGAACATAATCTGTATGTTGAAGGAGGCGCAAATTATAGTGCTTGGCTTGTTTGATCCCAAAAAATAATAAAAGTAATAAGAAAATCTCAACCAACCCCAACACGCATTGCTCAACAAATTTTGTTGAAATTTGTGGCACTTTTTGTTGAGTTGTTGATTTTTGAAGTGTCCACATTGGCAACTCAGCAAGTCGCGTGAATGTTTCCTCAGTGAAATCAGTGAAAGGTGGCAGGCGCTCCTTCGTTCGTTCAGTTATTCGTTTATTTATTTCTTTTTTACCAAGTTATTCACTCACTCAATCATTCGTTCATCTATTTGTTTATTTATTCAATGGTTTGTTTGTTCATTTATTTGAAAACTTTTTCGTTCGTTCGTTCTTTTCTCTTGTTCATTGTTCATTTATTCATTTTTTTACTCGTTCATTTGTTAATTCGTTCAACCGTTCGTCCGTTCATTCATTCATTTATTCATATTTTTAATAATAAATCCTATCATTCATTAAACAAACAAACTAAAACACGAACAACAAAAACACAAACAAGAGAATAAAAGAATACACACAAACCAACTGAACAACAATCAAACTAACAACAGAAGCACACAAACAAACTAAACAACAAAAACACAAACAAACAAAAAACATACAAACCAATTATTCGGCAAACATCTTTTTGTATTTTTGTTCTCGCGACACTCCGCCCTAAACGTCGCCAGACTCTCCAGACATCTGGATTCGCGCGAACACCATCTCCTCCTCCACAAGCAAGATTTCTCATCGATATCATTATCAGTATCATCGCCGTTATTATCATTATCATCACCATTCTTATTATTTTTATTATTGTTGTTGGTGTTGTTTTTGTTATTATTTAGGAGATTTTTGTCGTTGTTGTTGTTGCTGTTGTTGATGACGTCATTTTCGTCGTCATCGTCATCGTCGTCGTCATCGTCAGTGATGACGTTCGATATAGCATCTTTCTTTTCCGGTTTCGATATCCACGATACGTTAGGTGAGGTCCCTATTCGTCGTAATCATCATCATAGTCGTCGTCATAGTGATCATCATCATCACCATTTTCATCCTTTTCCTCCTCCTCATCATCGCCATCATCCTCCTCCTCCTCATCATCATCATCCTTTTCCTCCTCTCCATCATCATCACCATCTTCATCATTATCAACTTTATCATCATAATCGTCATTAGAATGGTGATCATCTTAGCCAGGTGTATTCATGTACACACGGATATCAATTAATCATTGTTTGTATTTACAAATTTTAATCTCACCAACGTTTAACTATCGTCATTATTCATTCATTTGTTCATTCATTCATTCATTTGCTCATTTATTCATTTGTTCATTCATTTGCTCATTCATTCATTTGTTCATTCATTCATTCATTTGTTCGTTCATTCATTTGTTCGTTCATTCATTTCTTTATTTTTTTATTCATTCATTCTTTAATTGATTTATTTTTTCATTGATTTATTTTATCACTAACATCATCATCATCATCATCGTCGTCACCACAATCATCATCATCATCACCACCATCACCGACATCATCATCATCATCACCATCATCATCGACATCATCATCATCATCACCATCATCATCGACATCATCATCATCATCACCAAGGCAAGCAGACCCACCTAGACAGCTGTGTAGAAAGATCCTATTCTGAAAATCCAGGCACTCCTTATCGCTCTGCAGACTGCTAGAAGCGAAGCACATGCAGTTCAGGAAAAGTGGGTGGGTCTGTAGTGACGTCAGCAGGGCACGACATTCCGCCTTTGTCGATGATTGACAGGTGTAAACTAGTTCGTGAATGTTAAGTAGGTCACTAGTTAGATCATGATTACTCACAGTATATTCACAATATCTAATGAAATATTTTTCCAACCAACCGCCCAAGCCAACCAACCAGCCAGCCAAGATAACCAGCTGACCAAAACAACCAGCCAGCCAACCAAGACAACCAGCCAGCCATCTAGCTCTAGCCAACCAATCCGAAATCCACTTTTTTATTAATTAAACTTAATTAACCAATCAAATAACTTCGGGTCACTACCATCCAACCAATCAATCACTCAACCATAAAAACGAGCACATATTTTTTTAATGCACTTTAGGCCATGAAATTAATTATAACAGACGAGTCAACCAACCAATCAACAGATGATGACAGTGATGATGATGACGACGACAATAAAAACATAAAATCAGCAGGTATCAGTGAAAAATATAAATAAATAGCATTTTTAAAAAATGCCTTCCATATATCGAACCGCAATCACGACGGCTGCACACCCGGTTATATCGAATTATGAAAATCAAAAAACTTCACGCTGATTAATATATGTATGTGTAAGTAAAAGGTGTGTATGTGTGTGTGTGTGTGTGTGTGAAAGAGAGAGAAAAAAGAGAGAAAAAGAGAGAGAGAGAGAGAGAGAGAGAGAGAGAAAGAGAAATAATGAATGTGTATGTGTGCTTGTCTTATATATATATACTTGAGAGCTCTTAGAAGTGTTAATAAAAGACGCTATATAAATTAATCAATAACAATAATGACAAAAATAATAATACAGATATTATTACAACTTATTATTATTGTTGTTATTTACTTATTGTTATTATTGTTGTTACTGGTACGTCAACAACAACAACAATAATAATAATAATAATGTTCCAAGCAGTTATAATATTTCCATTATTACGCAAAAAATGAATGAATCACAAATGAAAGAAGATAGAAAGAGTAGGTGTAAGTATATTGGTGTGTGTGTGTGTGTGTATGTGTGTGTGTGTGTGTGTATTGCGTCGTGTATGCTGGTGTGTCTGGCGCATGTTGGCGTGTATTTTGCATGTTGGTGTGCGTGTGTGTTTGTGTGAGTTGTTTGTCTGTTATTGTATGTTCATTGTATGTTATTTATGTATATTTTATATTGATAGCATTTTGTATATCAGTATATTAGTGTTAAAACGTAGTATGGTATTGGTAGTGTATATATTATATATTTGTATTTGTATTAGATATTTGTGTGTATGTTTTCAACTGTGAATACGTTGTAAAATTGTGCATATGTTGTATAATAGTATGTGTCCTGTATTGATTTGTATATTGTTTATTGTATATAGTACTGGTGTGTACAACGGAGTGTATTGGGGTGTGTTTTGGTGTGTATATTGGTAGGTAAGATGAAGATATTTGATGTATTACGATAGAGCGAGTGATTGTTTTGCATTAGGTTGATCTATTCCTATCATTAATTTTCTATTGTCCTGTTTGTTTGTTTGTTTGTTTATGTTTTTTGTATGTTTTTGCGTTTTGTATGTTGGTCCTATATGTGTGTTTTTTTGTTTTGTATGTTTCGTTTTGTATGTTTCGTTTTGTGTTTATGTTTTTTGAAATAATTTTTCCGTATATTTGATTTTTGTGTGTGTATATTTTGAATATTTTTTTTTGTATACATGCATGTTAACATATTTTATATCCATATTTGTTTGTCTGGTTTTATGTGTGTTTGTTTGTATGTTTGTAGGTATTTTTGTTTGTAAGTAAACAGGTATGTATCTTTATTTGATTGTGTTTTGTGTATAATGTTTGTCTTTGATTGTTCGTTGATTCTAAAATTAAATGCAATTGAATGCGATTAGAAGCATATGTTTGAGATACATTTATTGATTTTTATAAAACGTTTGATGCATGTTTTTTTTGTATGTGTGTGTGTTTGTGTGTGTGTGTGTGAGTGTGTGTGGTGTGTGTGTGAATGTGTGGTGTGTGTGTGTGTAACAACAACAACATCATCATCATTCTCATCAATCACATATCACCATCATCGTCCCCACCACCATCATACGCAATCTTTTCAATAATGCTTTTAGAAGTTTTTTCAAGTTTGCTCTCTTTTTGTCTATCGTTGTAATTGTTGCATCAACATCATCATCAACAGCCATTGTAGTAGCAGCAACAGCAGCAGCTGTCGTAGCAGCAGCAGTAGTAGTAGTAGTAATAACATAAGTATATAAACTCATAACACTTATCTTAAGAATGTCTTCTTCCCAGCAACAATACCATAGAATTTATAAATTTCAAATTGGCTTCATCGAATTGTCACCGAATCTAAAGCGCTGTGCTTGCGCATGCGTTCGAACGCACGCACACGCGACGCGCACACTTTCTTACACACTCCTTCACGCACAAACGCACATGCCCAGGATCATAAACACACACGTCAGTCACGACACACTCAAACACA